TTTTACAATTCTATAAGCTCTGCTACAGCAGTATTTTAATATTGAATAGTCCCTGCTACCATTTCACAAACAGCTTGCCTGTATCCCCTAGCTTGCTGGGGCAACTTTAGAACAATAAGTGACAGTGACAATGTTTGGTTTCTTGTCAGGGGTCATTTTGTAGAAAAAGAGGTGCAGGGGCTTATTAGCATAACTTATTTGCATAACTTATTTGCATATGCCACACCCGCTGATGTCACTGGAAGTGTGTCAGAAGGCAACACCCACCGCTCAGGTTCCACTGGACTGTTTTGGATTGCTAGCTATTGGGGGGTGGGAATGTGCAGATCTGTCCTCACAGAGGAGGGAGAGCTTGTTCCTGAATAACACTTAGCCTTAAAGCTGCCACTGGACTCTTTTGGACCGGGGGCCGAGGGGGCTCTACAACTTACCTGGCTGCTTCTTGCTCCTCGTGGCCCAACCAGCCCCGTAGCTAGGGAATTTTTTGGGAGGGGGCCTCAGGTGGGGCGCCAGCTAATTAAATCAAAGCACAATGCAGACGGCAAGTTGGGGCACTTTGGGGGTGGCCTGGGAAGGAGGGGGCCCAGAAGAAATACTAGGAGGCCGGGCCCCGTGGGCCCCACGGTAGCTACGGGCCAGGGCCCAACTGAGGGCTGCTGGGAGCAGGGGGCGGGGCTTGTTGCATGTGCCCACCCCCTGGGCTCTTTACTGCTGGAGCTCCGCTCCTGTGTGCTCCTGCAGGAAATGACCCCTGTTTCTTGTAAATATCATGTCAGTCAACTAATGAAAGAACTCTTGAACACACCCTCCCCCATTTCCACTGCTCTGCCAACAAACCTCCCACTTGTAACTTTGCTGGTCTATCCACATCCCCACTGCTCTGTGGGCAGCAACAGCAGGGCAGTGGTGAGGGTGTGGCAGTGGCAGCTCCCATTCCCCTTTCCCCTGTCCACCAGCAGCACCACCCCCTAAACCTCTCTGGCTCGTCAGTGGTGGTGGCTCCCCCTACTCCTGAGTGTCCCACAGAGGGCCAATGGAGGCACATTCCTAGAAGAAATGACCATTTTCAGTATTTCCTTTTATAACAACAATAATCCAGAACAATGTCGTTTTAAAAAATAAGAATGCTTTCACTCCCCACTGATTAATCAACTACTTTTAATTAACAAATCTGTTAAACTGATCAAACTCTCAGTCCTTCTTAAAACGCAAAATGGAAGTCCTTTAATTAAAGATGTAAAATGAGATAAAGTGCACTTGGAATCTACTACAGATTAAAAAGGATATACATGCAATCTAAATAATCCTCAAATTAAAAGTGACCCAAAGTCTTCAGGGGAAAACCCCAAAAAAATTTTGGGTAGCATTTCAGACACGCTAAACCTGTAACTCTGGTTGCTGATCCTTTCGGGATGGGTGCTGTTATCTTCTGTGTCGATCAGTTTGTTAAACTCCCCAGTGCTTTCACATCAAAGTGCTGAACATTAGGAACAGAATTATAGCTGGAGCTTCTCATCTGCAGTTGGCACAGTTTCACAATTCTATAAGCTCTGCTACAGCAGTATTTTAATATTGAATAGTACAAACGTCTTACTGCCACTTTTGATTTTAAGCCACAAAACATGACAAGAGACCAAGTTGCTTATCATTTAGATAGACCACTGAATTTGCTAGGTATGAAGTTTCCTAGGCTCAAATGGGACAGACAGGCGGAGAAAATTATCTGATGAAATCAGGTAAATGCTGAGCTAGGAAGAAGGCTTTTGAGTGTTCTGCAAAACTATCTTGTACCATAATTTTTTAACTGGATCATAGAGTTTCACATTTTTTGTGCATCTGTGAAATTTTAGTTTGATTACTCACTTAATTGTGTGTGTTTTTTGATGTGTGGGGATGGGGGTGCTTATGAGGAGTTACTCAACTACTGTGTATCTGAGTTTCCTTGTCATTAAAAAGAAGTAACTACTTAATTGTCTCCTTTACAGGGATACCACAAGAGTGCGTTAAAGACTCTATACAATAAATGTAAACACAGAGGGAAGCTGTTTTGATTTTATTGTAGATATGGAATGTGACACTGAAGCTAGATTTGTAGAGTGGATTATTTATGTGAAGAGCCCTACTTAGATTATCCTGCTTCTGTTAATGTCTAGATCCAGGTGCTTGAGGGTGTACGTAACAGCACAGACTATGAACCACACAACAACACAAGGTGTTTAAGTTCTGTAAACAGCCTATGAAGTAGATTAAATGCCTTGAGCATCCTACTCAATAGCATCAGGTAGATAACCATGTTAGTCTGTAGTGGTAGGACAAAATTGAGACCGGTTATCTGACAACGTGAGCTCTGACTCATGAAAGCTTATACCACGGAGAATTTTGTTGGTCATTAAATCAAATTTTGTTCTGTTACCCAATAGCATACACCTGAGATTTTCATTTTCCATATCATGTGCCCTTTTGTACACCACGCATATCTACAGCGCTTGCTTCTGTGCCTTTCTCACTTTTCTCTGTGGTGCCTTACTTTTCCCCTGTGGGAAACGTATCTGATTATTGGTCTGACTCATGTATGACAGGTTTGAAAGCAAAAGTGCTGAGAAATATACTAAAAATGTTACAGGTTATTCTATAAAAGTTTATTTGTAAGGGGCAAACTGGCTCTTCAACTTCCTGGGGAAGACCGGTGCTTGCCCATATGCAAGCACAGGCTACACAGGCCCCCCCCCCCCCCCGCCCAACATCCTCGAATGGTATCACAAGGGTGGGGGAGCCTATGAGGGCACAGCGCAGGAGCGCTGGCCTATCAGGAATGGCTGGCTAGCCAGGTCTGGTAGCAGCAGCCATTCCCCAGCCATTCCAGGTGGGCGGCTGCCCTGGAGGGCCACTAGAGGCCAGGAGCATGCTGAGCCAAGTGTCCCTAGCCATGCAGGCAGCACCATAGGATCTTCTGGGCCAGAGAACTGTTGCTGTAGCCCTGGTCTAAGCCCAACAGGCTCTGTGGTGTTGCCAGCACTGCCAGGGTCATTTGGCTTAGCTTGCACCAAGACACTTTGAACATCCCAATCCATCCTTGCTCATCCTAAAATACTGAAGGGCTATAATTAGATAATTGACCTGGACAGCGCAGGCTAGCCTAATCTTATCAGATCTGGGAAGCTTAGCTGGGTTGACCCTGGTTGGTTCTTGGATGGGAGACCACCAGGGATTACCAGGGTCCCTAGACAGAGGCAGGTAATAGCAAACAACCTCTGAATGTCTCTTGCAGTGAAAACCCCATGGGGTTGCCATAAATCAGCTGTGACTTCATCGGGAAAAGAAAAAGACCAGGTAAAGGGGCAGCATGTCTGCAACAGTACAATATTTATAACTAAAAAGACCAGGTAAAGGGGCAACATGTCTGCAACAGTACAATATTTATAAGTGAGTTCTGTGCTTAACCTTGTGCTAGCAAACTAGGCAGAAACTTCCAGGGAGCTAATTATCTTTTTTTAAAAAAAAGAAGACACAACTCTCTTTTTTTAAGGCAAGATAATAAAAAACTGAACCAAGAACAAGTTAACTCTAGAATCATGAAAGACTGCATGCAAGGAAAATAATTTATCCTAACATTTCTCTAGCATGATTGAATAAATCAACTTTAAAGCTAATCAAATGTCAAATAACCATCAGAATGCTTTAAAAGCTTAGGAAACCCAATACACACACAGAGACTGTGTTATGTATTGAATTGTATATATAACTGCTATGTGAACTGCGCCATAGAGTCTTGAATGTAAATACTGATGTGTGAATCGCCTGATTGAGATGCCATGTTGAGCTTCATCCTGGGCTAGGATCCTAATGTAACCAATAGGAGCCCTAGCCCAGAAAGTGCCTACCAATCACCGTGCAGAGCGGGATCGCTTGTGATTGGTCGTTATTGCTTCAACCTCATAGGTTGTTATCTGTACAGGGGGTGTGGCTACATTAGCCGGGAGTGTTTAAATATAGACAAGCCAGTGTATGTCTGAGCGATCTGTGATGGGTTCTGGCTGGCGATTGTTGTACCGTAACGGAGAAGTAACTGAGCTGAAGAATAAACCGCAATTCTTGCTGAATCACTCTCCGACTCTTTGTTAAGCGCACGACTTAACAATTAGCGACGAGGATGGGATACTAGTGCGGGTAGGCAGCCCCGCTAGAACGGACCCCATGTCGGACAACGAGGAGATCGCCGAGGCCGGCCAGCCACAGGCTCCACCCGCTCTGGTGGCTCCGCCTGTGCGCATAACGATGGCCGCGAGCAGCCAGAAGTTCGAATGCTTCGACCCAACTACTGAAGACTGGGACTCTTACCTCACAAGGTTTGAGTTCCATCTGGAGGCGAATGACATCACGACGGAGGAGAAGAAGAGGGCGACTCTACTCAGCTCGTGTGGAAAGAGCGTTTTTGACATCGCCCGGTCACTGGTGGCACCAGATGACCTCAAATCCGTATCCTTTAAAAATGTGACAGACAAGCTGAAATCACATTTTTCTCCACAGCCGTCGGAAATCGCCTGCAGGCACGCTTTTTACAAGCGGGGTCAGAATGCGAACGAGTCCATAGCTGAGTACGTTGCAGCTCTTCGCAAGGCAGCGCGGCCTTGCAACTTCACGAATGTGGAGGAGGCCCTCCGAGATCGCCTCGTCTGTGGTCTGAGAGACGAGAGACTGCAGCAACGCCTGTTCGCAAGAACTACCTTAACGTGGGCCATCGCCTATGCCGAGGCTGTCGCCGCGGAAGCTGCTGACAGATCAACCAGGGAGGTGAGACAACGGGTCGCAACGGCTGATCAACGCGTCCACCAGCAGAGGGCTAGCGACGCAAGCAGCGACTCTGATGACGACGTCTGCGTGGTAAAGGCGGGAGCGTCCAAGCGGACCCAACAGAAACCTTCCGAGGGCTCAGCATGCGTCGGCTGTGGCGGGAAACATCGGCGCGAGCGTTGCTGGGCAAGAGACCTCGACTGCCGGTCATGCGGGAAGCGGGGGCATGTTGCCCGGGTGTGCAGAGCAGCGAACAAGTCGTCACCCGCATCATCGCCCCGACGGCACCAACGTCCCCGAGCCGCACCGAAAGACGACAGCCGACAGATGACAGGAAGCCTGTCATCGGAAGCCACCATTTTCAGCACAAACAGCAGACAGAAGATCCACGTCACTCTCTGCCTCGACGGCGCGCCGTGCGAGATGGAGGTGGATTCCGGGTCGGCGGTAACCGTTTTGTCGACGCAGACGTGGCACAAGCTGTTTCCAACGCGGAGTCGGCGGAGGTTGCAAGCTGCGGACACCCGCTTGTCCGATTTCCAGGGAAATCGAATTCCTCTGGCAGGGAGGGATTCGTTCACAGTGGAGTTCAAGGGAAAAAGTGCTGTGTTGTCATGTTTAATAGCTGAGGGGAACCGAACCAACCTGCTCGGGTTGGACTGGTTTGACCCTCTGGGTATTGCTGTTGTGGGAGTTAATACTGTTGTGGAAAATAAATGGGCTGTATTATATTCTGAATTTCCTGAAGTGTTTGGGGGTGGTTTGGGAAGGTATAACGGTCCCCCAGTGTCTTTTGACTTGGATCCTGGTGTTAGGCCTATCCGCCTTAAATACAGGAAGGTGCCCATTCCGTTCAAGGCAAAAATCGAGGCCGAACTCGATAAGTTGGTTGAGCAAGGGGTATTGGAACCAGTGCCTTTTGGCAAATGGGAAACTCCCATAGTAACTCCTATTAAACCTGACGGGTCAATTCGGATATGCGCTGATTACAAGTGCACCATTAACAAAGCCTTGCAGCAGCATTCGTACCCTGTCCCGGTCATCAGCCACGTTTTGGCGTCACTGGGAGGGGGCAAGATATTCGCCAAACTCGACCTAGCCCAGGCATATCAACAACTCCCAGTAACAAAGGAGGCGGCTGAAGCTCAAACTATAGTAACGCACAGAGGGGCGTTCAGAGTGAACCGACTCCAATTCGGAGTGAATGTCGCACCGGGGATTTTCCAAAGTCTCATGGAGGGGTTACTGAGGGGGGTGCCTGGCACGGTGCCGTATTTTGATGATGTGCTAATAGCGGGCAAATCCGAAGATGAATTGTTGCACCGAGTTAGGGAGGTGCTCAAGCGTTTTTCCGATGCGGGGCTTAAGGTAAAAAAGTCCAAATGCCTGGTGGGGGTCCATAGTGTTGAATTCTTGGGATTCCGGGTGGATGAGTTCGGGGTCCACCCCACAAACGATAAGGTATCCGCAATACAGCATGCACCACGGCCACAGGGGAACAAGGAGCTCCAGTCCTTCTTAGGACTCCTTAATTTTTACCACGCCTTTTTGCCCCATAAGGCGTCAGTGGCTGCCCCATTGCATAACCTCCTGCACAAGGACTCCAAGTGGAAGTGGGGCCCCGAGCATGAGCGAGCGTTTAAGGGGGTGAAAGAATTACTGTCATCAGATGCTGTGCTGACTCATTATGATGAGAACAAGCTACTGGTGTTGGCTGCTGATGCGTCACCATATGGGGTGGGGGCGGTGCTGAGCCATGTCATGCCGGACGGGCGGGAGGCCCCCGTGGCGTTCTATTCCAGGTCGTTAACAGCAGCAGAGAAAAACTACGCGCAGATTGATAAAGAGGCTTTGGCGCTTGTTTCTGCTGTTAAAAAGTTTAATGACTTTCTGTTTGGAAGGCGTTTCATTTTGGTAACGGACCACAAGCCCTTGCTAGGGATCTTTGCCCAGGACCGGCAACTCCCTGATGTTATGTCCGCTCGCATGTTGCGGTGGGCATTGTTCCTCTCAGCATATGAGTTCGACTTGGAACACCGGCCGGGTAAGGCAATTGGACACGCTGATGCGCTCAGCCGCTGCCCTCTGCCCGGCCAGGACTTGGACCCTGCTCCTGCTTGCTCAGTTCTGGCTATTGAGGAACTGCCGGAGGCACCCGTGTCAGTGAAGGACATTGCTGCTGCGACAGCAAGAGACTCTGTGCTCAGTCGTGTTCTAAACTGGGTGTGGAGGGGGTGGCCGGCAGGGACTTTAGAGCCGGAATTCAAACCGTATAAAATGCGGGAAAACGAGATGTCCGTATCCAAGGGCTGTCTACTGTGGGGAAACCGGGTGGTTGTGCCTCATCGCTGGCGCGAAAAAGTGCTGAAATCACTTCATGAGGGCCATCCCGGTATGGTACATATGAAAGCTCTGGCCCGGGGATATGTGTGGTGGCCCGGGTTGGACGCTGATATTGAGGAGTGGGTTCGGGGGTGCACGCCATGCCAGCAGGCGAGGGCCGACCCACCAACCGCCTATCCGCAAAAGTGGGAATCGGCGGGAAAGCCTTGGTCAAGGCTACACATCGACCTGGCGGGCCCGGTACAAGGGCAAATGTTCTTAATTGTTGTGGACTCATTTTCAAAATGGTTGGAAGTGGCGCCAATGTCTACCACCACTTCCACTGCTGTAATTAATGTTTTGCGCCGTCTTTTTGCCACACATGGGTTGCCTGATGTTTTAGTGAGCGATAACGGCGCTCAATTTGTTTCTTCTGAATTTGTACAGTTCCTAACCAACAATGGCATAAGGCAAATGACTTCGGCCCCGTTCCACCCTGCCTCTAACGGCCAGGCGGAAAGAATGGTCCGCACGACCAAGGATGCGCTGGCAAAGCTGACATCCGGGGACTGGGGAGTGAAACTGGCGTCGTTTCTCCTGCGCCAGCACGTAACTCCATGTTCGGCTACGGGCCGCAGCCCAGCCGAGTTGTTAATGGGGCGACGCCTAGCGTCGTTGCTGGATCGCTTGCATCCTGACCTCAACGACTTGAGGCCCCAGCAGCAGAGTGTTCCCTCAAAGGTCCGCACTTACGAATGTGGGGACACGGTCTTTGCGAAGAACTATGCCGGGGGACATTCGTGGCTCCCAGCCACAGTTACGGAGGTAGTGGGTTCCCGGATGTACGCTGTCCAGCTTGCGGACGGGCGCAAGTGGAGGCGACACACGGACCAGTTAAGGCAGCGGTGGGCAACTGGCCGCCCCACCTCACTGCCTATGGAGTTCCAGGAACCGGAGGACACTCCTCAACCTCTCCCGGAGGTGAGTACCGATGTGCCCGAGGGCCCCGGTACTGTCGGCGAGTCAGGGCAGACCCCTACTCAAAGACCCAGTACAAGTATTGGAAGTGCTCCTGGCTCTGTAGTCCCCGAGCCTGATGCTGTTCCCCAAGCGGGGAGGCCTGCTGAGCCTTTACAGCCACGCAGGTCTCAGAGTGTGCGCAGAGTGCCCACCTACTTGAGCGATTACGATTGTTCATGAGTGTTTTCGCTTAGGGGGGAGGGATTTGTTATGTATTGAATTGTATATATAACTGCTATGTGAACTGCGCCATAGAGTCTTGAATGTAAATACTGATGTGTGAATCGCCTGATTGAGATGCCATGTTGAGCTTCATCCTGGGCTAGGATCCTAATGTAACCAATAGGAGCCCTAGCCCAGAAAGTGCCTACCAATCACCGTGCAGAGCGGGATCGCTTGTGATTGGTCGTTATTGCTTCAACCTCATAGGTTGTTATCTGTACAGGGGGTGTGGCTACATTAGCCGGGAGTGTTTAAATATAGACAAGCCAGTGTATGTCTGAGCGATCTGTGATGGGTTCTGGCTGGCGATTGTTGTACCGTAACGGAGAAGTAACTGAGCTGAAGAATAAACCGCAATTCTTGCTGAATCACTCTCCGACTCTTTGTTAAGCGCACGACTTAACAGACTGAAATCTCATGTATGTTCTTTGACACTCCATTCACAGAAACCTGAGTAATTCTTCTATGTGACACTTTTTATAGGCAAAGGGAAATCCAAAGTCATTATAATTTTATCATGTAATGATTTTACTGATATAATAATTGGTTCTCAATATGATCCTATAACAGCATACAGAGGTGTTCTGAGATTATACTTGATAATGCTTGTTAACTGCTCAAACAAGATTTAAGATATATTTAGCACTTCACAAATAATTAAAAGACAGTACTTCTTTTTTGTCCAGCTTCATTCATTGGCTGTCAAAGATAAAAGGTCCTGCACTTTTCCTGACCAGCTGGTGAATTCTCTACAAAGGGTGTTAAAAGTACACAAGAACATACATGTAACATGTATATCATGACAGAGCAATGATTTACCTTGAACAAAACAGCCAGTGTAAGACTAGCTATGGCAGAATAATTGAATAAAGTACAAAGCAGGCAGAAAAGAACCTTCAGCAATGTGGAAGAGTGGGTGATTCTGCATCTAGCATTCGCTCCACATTTTCTCAACTAGGAAGAAAAAGGGCAGCTAAAAACCACATTCAAATACCCCGGGCCAACGCTGTACTGACTGCAAAGTCACTCCTGAATGGCCATAAAATGGACATAATCTGTGCAGGAGGTACCATAAAATCTGATGATCAAAGGAAGTGAAAGCAGCATGCAATGCAGAGGGGAATTTCTGTTCCAACGTGGGTTTCATAAAACAATGGAGGGAAAAGTCAATGCAGAATCTGCCACAGTGTCGCTGTGTTTAGACTATATTTTCTCCTCCTACACATTGTCATTTATTTCCTGGCTGGGATCTCAGTAAATGCTCTGAATGAATTGTTCATGTCAGTTGAGGTAGACGGTGTCCAATCCTGTCTAATATAATTTGGGTATCTGGTGCTATAGAGGTTTAATTCGCCATAGTCAGTCATAATGAAATGTTGCTAAGACTGAATGTGGCTGTTAAACTCCACTTTGTGTCTTCTGTTGTAATGTTCTGGTAAGGATGAGGGGGAGGGGGAGGGGAGGAAGGAGAAGAAGAAGAAGAATTGGTTTTTATACCCTGCTTTTCACAACCCAAAGAAGACTCAAAGCGGCTTACAATTGCCTTCCCTTCCTCTCCCCACAAAAGAGATCCTGTGAGGCAGGTGGGGCTGAGAGAGCTCTGAGAGAACTGTGACTGACCCAAGGTCACCCAGCTGGCTTCATGTGGAGGAGTGGGGAATCAAACCTGGTTCTCCAGATTAGAGTCCGCCTTTCTTAACCACTACATCAAACTGGCTCTCAGCCTTTCAAAAGGCCATTTACATCATGGTAGCTGCTCAAAAACTCTCATTGTGGCAACTGAAATAGTATAGCAAGCTGGTCATCTCCAAGGAAACAGTAATACATGTTTCACCATGTGGGTGGCAACTACAAGCAACATGCTCCATTCAATTAAAGCAGTCACATGGTGCATTGTTACGTGGCCATCGCACTATAAATAATAGTTTAAAAACACATAATGAGTGCTGACTGTGGGTATTCAAGGCAGGGCACTTGGAGGATCATGAGTCAGCAATGTTGCATTTGACTGATGGAATAAACCCCAAAGACAAATAGAGAATAATAGTAGTCTTCAAAAATACAAAACAGGAGCTAAGAGTTCAGAGAAGAGAAACATCAAAAATAAATATAAGGAGCTGCCTTATGCATGAGTCAGAATACTAGTCCATCAGTCCAGTGCAGCATTCTCTGACTGGTTACAGGATCCAACTTCAAGGTCTCAGGCTACTTAACCCATTATCTTATACACAGAGATGCCAGAGATTGAACATGCTTGTAAAGCATGTGGTCTACCACTAAGATTATAGCCGTGCTGTTAGTCCAGTTTCTCTACTTCTGTTAGGGCCCACCCTAGCACCCTATTACAAAGTGTTCATGTTGATTGGGTAACAACATAATGACTTTATATTAAATGTGTGATGCGAGTTTTGTGCCACCCAGACACACACCAGCAGTGTTCCCTCTAAGCTGAGTTAGTGTGAACTAGCTCACAGTTTTTTAGCCCCCGGCTCACAGAGATTTATCTTAGCTCAGGAAGGATGTGGCTCCAGAGCAAACTAATTTATGCAGCAGCCAAATTGCTTGCTCACAACTTTAATGCCAGCAGCTCACAAAGTAGAATTTTTGCTCACAAGACTCCACGGCTTAGAGGGAACACTGCACACCAGCTCTTTTCTGTTTGCGACTACAAGTGATTCCTTGTTGAAGTGCACTGGAAACACACGGTGAAGGAAAAAACCCAATTCACCTGCCGCTGCATCTGATCACGAGGTGGTGGGCCAAATTACTACGGTGCAAATAGCCTCACTCCCCCCCCCCCCCCCCCGGCTTTCTTCTGGCACATGTGACCATACTCAGAGACAGGCAAAGTGACAACAACAGCACTGATATAATTCTAAAATTAAAGATGGAGGAGGGGAGACGAAAATGGAGGCTTGTCCAGAGGTGAAGAACAGATTCAAGGGTCTAGATTTGATAGAGTGCCTGAAGAACTATGGACGGAGGTTCGTGACAATGTACAGGAGGCAGCAATCACCATCATCCCAAAGAAAAAGAAATGCAAGAAAGCAAAGTGGCTGTCTGATGAGGCTTTACAAATAGCAGAGGAAAGAAGGAAAGTGAAAGGCAAAGGCGAAAAGGAAAGATTTACCCAACTGAACGCAGATTTCCAGAGAACAGCAAGGAGAGATAAGGAGGCCTTCCTGAATGAACAGTGCAAAGTAATAGAAGAAAACAATAGAATGGGAAGGGCTAGAGATCTCTTCAAGAAAATTGGAGAAATCAAGGGAGTGTTCCATACAAAGCTGGCCATGATAAAGGACAAAACGGTAGGGACCTAACAGAAGCAGAAGAGATTAGGAAAAGATGGCAAGAATACACAGAAGAACTATACAAGAAAGACCTCGATGTCCTTGACAACCACGACGGTATAATCACTGACCTCGAGCCAGACATCCTGGAATGTGAAGTTAAATGGGCCTTAGAAAGCATTACTAACAACAAAGCTAGTGGAGGTGATGGTATTCCAGCTGAGTATTCAAAGTCTTAAAAAGATGATGCTGTTAAAGTGCTGCACTCAATTTGCCAGCAAATTGGGAAAACGCAACAGTGGCCACAGGATTGGAAAAGGTCAGTATACATTCCAATCCCAAAGAAGGGCAATGCCAAGGAATGTTCAAACTATCGCACAATTGCACTCATATCACATGCTAGCAAGGTCATGCTCAAGATCCTACAAGCTAGGCTTCAACAGTACGTGGATAGAGAACTGCCAGAAGTACAAGCTGGGTTTCGAAGAGGTAGAGGAACTAGAGATCAAATTGCCAACATTCGCTGGATTATGGAGAAAGCAAGAGAGTACCAGAAAAACATCTACTTCTGCTTCATTGACTATGCTAAAGCTTTTGACTGTGTGGATCACAACAAACTATGGCAGGTCCTTAAAGAGATGGGAGTACCAGACCACCTCACATGTCTCTTGAGAAACCTGTATAAGGGCCAAGAAGCGACAGTTAGAACCGGATATGGAACAACTGATTGGTTTAGCATAGGAAAAGGAGTACGACAAGGATGTATATTGTCGCCTTGCTTATTTAATATATATGCAGAGTACATCATGCGAAATGCTGGCCTGGATGAATCACAAGCGGGAATTAAGATTGCTGGGGAAAAGATCAACAACCTCAGATATGCAGACGATACCACTCTAATGGCAGAAAGTGAAGAGGACCTAAAGAGCCTCTTGCTCAGGGTAAAAGAGGAGAGCGCAAAAGTGGGTTTGAAGCTTAACATCAAAA